ACAAAACCGCATGATCGCACCGGCTCGCCTGGTGCGTTCCAGCCTGTTTTTTTTTTTTTTTTGAAGTTTTGTATATTGAGTTTTTGAAAGATAAAAATTCAGAATCTTCTCCATATTTACTACCTCCATATTTACTAACTGTAATCAAGTTACTCCCATTTCCTCCAGAAAATGTTTTGTTTTTTTAGCCTTTCACTTACCTTTCCCAGATTTTTTATTTTCATATGTTTGTTAAAGAAAAGCAGTAACTTATATATGACAAACAAAAACATATTGAATAATTAATGCTACTTGACGAAATAAAAATTTGTTATTCCTGAGTGTTTGTGCATCAGCCGAAAACACGATTATGTGTTTGTGTATACGTGTTTGCGTCTGTGTGTTATTTGTATGCGTGTACTTCTGTGTGTTTTTGTGTGTGCATCAAGCACATGTGTGTTTGCATGTGTCTGTGGAACGTGTGCGCGTATGTCCGTGTGTGTATGTTTGTATGTGTGTGTACTGCGTTCGAGTGTTTGTATGTGTTCTTGTGTTTTTGCGAATATATGCTTGCGTGTTTCCGTGTTTGTGTGTTTTTTGCGTATGATAAGTATACAAACTTCATGTCCCCTGGGTTTTGATAGGAATGGGACGCAACGTTGGATCTATGCGACAGCAGCAGCTCAATTAACCAAAACTTTTTTTGATTCTAGCATATTCCCAGGTTTTCCACTTCTTTGATTTGTCTTTCAGATCATTTTGTATCTCTTTTTTCCGTTCGTCGAACTTTTTCATTCCTATCCTTAGTGGCCAGTTTCGTTGAAATTCATTGGCCTGCAATCGCCCCATTTTAATATTTCGGTCAACTTTTGTTTCGTCGTCGCGTTGCTTCTCACCACTAATGCAACTAGCAATTTCTCAATTCTTCACTATTTTGAGTTTCTTTCATCCGCGTAGTATACTAAATTACCGTATTCATGAAGTAGAAAGCAGAATTGGACGCATGGTGCACTTAAGTCAAGTGCGTAAAAAATCTGAAAAATGCCTGTAAAATCACGTGGAAATAAGGAATTTTGCAGGTGAACTGTGTATTATCAACGTCATTATCAGCACCAATAATACTCAAACAGCGGCTGAAATCATTCGGCAATTATTGCGGAAAATTTTGCACTGAAGACTGGGGCAACGATCATAATGGACGACGAGTGTATGGTTCGATAATGCTAAGCGTACAGTTCCTCGTACCGCTCATAATCATCACGTTCTGCTACACCGCCATTTCATTCAAATTAGGCAAAGTAAGCTTTTCACTTATCCTCAAACAAAACGTAACTTTCATGCCACTGGTATTTGAAAGTTCTCAATAAAGGTTCCTTTTTTTTTAAATGGTAGAAAGGAGGAAAACTTTTGTCCTCAGAAAATAGGGAGCCAAGGAGTTCCAACATTCGATACAAGCCAATGAGAAACGAATAAAGCCTTAAAAATGCTTTTATCGGGAGCATCGTTGAGCTGGCAAGACTCTTAGGAGAAAAAAGGAACAACAGCGATACTAACAGGCTGAACAAAGGCGATGCAGCATTGGTCGAAGCAACTGGAAAAGTTATCAAAGAAAAATGAGAGAAGAAAAAAAGGGAAAAAAAAAGAAAAAAAGGAAGAGAGAGACACAATGCAAATACCGTTTAGCTTAAATGAGATTGTAAAATTTGGCTTCTTTACAGAATAGTAAATAAACATATTCAACTATTCCTCTCCTCTTTTCTCATGTCGCTGTACTTTGCCGGTAGTAATGCTACACTTTCTGGCACTTATCAGTTGTATACTGTAAGATAGCGATTGTTCCTGTGAAATTTTTATGCTTTCAGGGTTTGTTATTGAAAAGCAGACGACAACAGCGCGATTGGCAGCTCGACATGACTGACCAGGTTGATCGCTCTGAATCTTTAATTTTTCCCAAACTTATGCTTTTAGTATTTTGTACCATCGAAAAACTTCCTGGCTTTTCGAAAAAGTCATCATTTCTAGGATTTGTACGGCGTACTTCATATTGCCAAAGAACTTTGGGATAATATTTTTTGATAGAAATTTTGCAGCAACGAGCAGCTGTGAAACGTCGGCAAAGAACCAACCGAATGCTGATCGGAATGGTCGTAGCATTTTCGGCAAGCTGGTTCACCAGTGTACTGTTCAATGTGCTTAGGGACTATGATCGTTTACCGGCTTGGTTCCGTGCTCAAGAATATTTTTTCGGGATCGCAACCCATTGCATTGCCATGTCTTCCACTGTTAGTACTGGAATTGCCATTACAAGAAGTGTCACTTACTTTCAGTGTTGCACGAGGCATTTACTGAACAAGCAAGACATAAACACATTCCATGCATTAGATCACCAAATAGGGCCACAGCTATCGTACTGACGAGGTTCAGCTGTAGCGCTGAAAAGGAATGTATGCGACTTTAAGAAAGAAATGCTTCGTTTTTGATTCATTTTTCTTTCTTTTTCTATAAATTAATGTCTAATAAATATTTCATTTATTCAATCATTTTTTATAAATTTTTCAATTATTTCTCCCTTTTTGCATAACATTCTTGCTTTTTTTTTTTAACAAACGTATTAATCTCTTACCTACTACCAGACTCATCTTTTATTAAACGCATGCAGCGTGCTTGATTATAACTTTACCGCCGACAAAAAACTCTAAAGCCAAAAATTTTATTTTATGTATAAGTCCACTCCTTATTAAGTCATCTCGCTCTACTCGCCCTATTTCAACACCTCAGCAGTTTCTCTTTCCAAAATCTATTTTCTCTCTCTCTCTGTCTGTCTAAATCTAGCCATGAGTTATATGCAATCCCTATACATGGCTGAAAGGAGGCTGCGTTGATGATTCTCGCTCCTAACCGTAAGCATGGCGCTCTCTGTATTTATAGTTAAGGGAGGTGCAATACGATTTTTTCATCAGCATTGCCCCCCACCATTTCAGTATTGTTACATGCGCGTAAAGCACCAGTTACTGAGAGATAGCATCCGCTATTGGCTAAACAAACACAAATATTCCGGAAGATCCTTCAATCCGAGAGTCAAATTTTTAAAATTTCGATAAGTGTCCAATGATTTTCAGATATGGAATCCACTGTTGTATGCAGCGCTCAACTTACAATTGCGTGCTGCTTTTTTACGTTTATTACCGGACTGTGTAAGATTAGGCAATTCGCGAAGTAGTACACTCAACGATAAGCCACTGCTTCCGCACAGCAAAAGTGGTAATCGAAATGGAAGAAGTCGAACTACAGAAAGTGATGAGAGGAGACGGCAAGTGCAATTTTTCATGCATTTTTACGTCAATTAAGAGGATTGATTGAATTTGACACTTTTTTATGCGTTTTTGCTGTGCAGCGCTATAGCGCTGCTACAGCAAGCAAAAACGCATATTATCGAGAGGCTGTCTGTGTGTGTGTGTGTGTGTGTTCGCAATGCGAGTGC